CTAGTCTTGTGTCAAACTCAGAATGAGTAATGTTGTACAATAGAACTCCCAAATCTGCAGGGTATTGGTTCCATGATCTACCATGGATGTCTGCAGAACTCCCATATCTGCAGGGTATTAGTTCCATGATCTACCATGGATGTCTGAAATTACAGACACAAAGGAACCTCATATATAGGGGGTGGGGCAAAGCCCACAAGGGGTGCCCATTTATATTGTACAGTATACAGAGCTGCAGCAAACTATGGATAAGTAAAACTACAGATACTAATTCCTCAGATAAGGAGTTCCTACTGTAATGAGAAATGTAACAAGAAAGGTTATAAATTTTGTCTGTATTGAAAACAATACAGAGTTGTTTATGACGAGATTAATGTCCCTCGATTCTTGTGAAATGAGAGATCTTAAATTTTGTTTTAAATACTCCTGTTTCAGCTTGGTGGCACACCGGGCACAACTGCCATTTGGCAGATAATGTACATGTCACAGGGACATTATGCTGTCTGTAGGAACGCAGGGGTCTGGTTTCTGTTACATGTTTTTCTGTCTTGACCAGGCAGATATCTATGAAATCCAGAATTCTGTTCAGCCAATATGCTCAGCCTGATCTATTACTTAAAGGTACCCTTCCTATGAACAATAAAAATATCAGTTAGCACATCCTGTATAAGTATGAACAATCATTTTTTTTTAAAAAAATCAGTCTGAGCTAGTAAATTATGATCACAACTGCTAGAGCAAATATCACACATAATATGTGTGAAATATTTGATGTGTTTGAAATGGCATAGGAAATTGTCCTGATCAAACATTGAAAGGCTGAGTTATTCCTAAAGACTTCCCCCTACCAATGCAATTTCCTTGCTGTCTACTTTGTCTATCTGGCTCTGCAGCTTATGTGCCAAGCCTATCTTGTTGAATGCCCCTGAGAACAGTCTACTCATATTTTTCTTTTGGGGCATATTTGGAAATGATCACTGGAGATTAAAAAACTCTTAAGGAAGATAATTGAAATTAGTTTCTGCCTTCTACCCATGCAAAAGATATTATTCTATATGATCACTTGTAATAAGGATTGAAATATGTGAATATTAGTAGCTTCCTGAAGGCATGTGGTTTGTTATTCAGTTGCATACAATGCTTGGATGTAAAAATAAAAATCTTCTGAACTCTGTTTAAGATGTGTCATGGCTGCTGCTACATGACATCTTCAGAATGGCTCATAAGCTCCTAGCATCAGAGAGAAGCTTTCTTGATTGACAGAATTACAAGCACTTGTATATGGAAACTAAACATTCTCTGTGCTTGGTTTTTACAGGATTTTTTCAATCTATAGAAATTGCTCTTTCAATCCTAGCTTGTTTTCCCTGTGCTGAAGAATTAATAATACTAACTTCTATTTTCTTAGGATCAGAGTGACAGTAGATGGGGAGTTTCTGCACTATATTTTCCCCCTCCAGTTTCTGGACTCACCTGAGTGGGATTCACTGAGACCCACAGAAGAAGGCATTTTTCAGGTAGAGGAATTTTGAATACCTTTTGATAATTAATAACCTTTCTTTCCTAGAATTTCAGAGATAGAAGACTTATTTATATGATAAGTTAAACACACAGAGTGCAGCTCAGCTTCATTTTCCTTCTTGCTCCAAAGTAAGTGTGGATAGGCCTGATCTGGGTCAGGACAAGGTAGGGAAGGTTTAATTCCCTGCACCATAATAGGGGACAAGAAGTAAAAAAGAAAAACCTTTTGGCTCAGGTTATTTTTTATGTATGAATTTGAGTGTGTGTGTGTGGGGGGGAAGTAACTGTGGAGGACGTTCTGAACTTCTCCAATTTCCATGCTGTGCTTCCTTATATGGAAGCATCACAGCACATATTTGTGCCTCTTTTAACATTCAGTTATTATTCTGTGCTTGCTGTGCCCATGGGTTGATGTATATGTCTCAACGGGAAAGGAGACCATTTTGCAGACAATTTTGCACAAGTGATGGAGAACTTAGTGAGAAAAAATAGCATTCCTTTCTCTTGCCTTCATCTGGAGGAACTGGAAACTTCTTATGACTTGAAAACTTCTCATACAGTTTCTTATCAAGTCATATTCTCTATATTGTGGTCCCAGATTCAACCTAGCTCATTTGCACTTACTCTTCAATAAGAAAGAAGTGGAGGATCAGCCGCCTGCTATATATTTAATGTAAGATAAACTCCAGCTTTAGGGCGAGAGTAAACCTTTGACTCAGTTACAGATTTAGAGGCATGTCTTCCTTGCTTTAAGTTGCCTCCTCCTTGCCTTGCATTTTTCAGCAGTGTCATCATTGGTACTGACAAGCAGAACTTTCAGCATGAGACACAGTGTTCCATCCAGACTGGTACCTGGAATAGTTTGCAGTGCTACCCAGCATTACAGTTATCTGGACAGATTCCGCGAATACTAAGAAACAAATACAGTATTTGGATACTAATGCCTGTAAAAGGGGTGGGGAAATTTGTCATTTATATCCATAAAATAAAGGAATATTTTGAAAAACTGGATGAGGGAATCAACAATGTTACTGGCTGAAGAAGGAACATTTTCAAACATCTCCTCCTTTTCCTTCTTGTGAGGCCATTTCCTAATCTGATATAAATGGAAATAGTTCTATTGATTTGCTATCTGTACAGAACATGTTCTTCCTTTCACCAGCACCACATGCTTAACATCTTTTAAAGTTGAATATAATTTAAATTGAGGGTGAATGTCCCTGTGCAATTCAAAAGACTTCAGAGTGGGATGAGGAGTGCCTATCCACAAGTGCTTGATGGAGCTAGCAAAGGAGTTGCAGTAGCAAATTGGTGCCCAGTCCGGGTAAAGAGATCCATGGAAAGCCAGCCCTATCTTTTTTTAGTGATGTCTTTGTATGTCTTTGGAAGACATTACCCCAAAACAAGCAGGAGAGGCAGGGCAAATAAGTTGTTTTCCCTCACAAATCTTACTTACAAAAATAACAACACATATCATTCCACACACACCCCTCTTTTTTTTTTCAGGTAACACTCACAGCGGAAACAGACTGTCGATACGTGGCCTGGAGAAGAAAAAAGTTGTATTTGCTCTTTGCTAAACACCGATTCATTTCACGTCTGTTTTCTATCCTGATTGGGAATGACATTGCTGATAAGCTTTATGCTTTGAATGACTTAATGAACCTGGGGAAGAGATTTCGATATGACATCCGCTTGCCAAACTTCTATCATATGTCCGTACTGGATACACCTAAAAGACAACCTCCAGAGTTTCAGAGCAATTCAAGACAACATTGACAAAGGTTGTAAACTACAACTCTTGCTACAAAATGAGAGATTACTGTTCTTGCTGCTCCCTAGATTGTATCACTGTGGTGATACAATAAAAGCAAACTGAAAATTCTCATAAAGAATTAAAAAATAAAAAATAAAAGCCCATTTTTTCATTGCAGTAAGAAGCATCTAGTTTGGCTCTTTTTGTGGTATGTAGAGGCTGCAGGTCACACATCTTGTCTAATTGTGAACTATGATTATTTCCATTTATTCCTTCTGCTCATCTTCCTACTTTGGGAGTGGGTGGGTGGGGGACAGATACGAATCATTATTGGATAATGCTTTGTTGCAATTGTGATGTCTTGTGTATTGTGTTTTAAATGACATTTGCACCAAGTTCTTCTTCATGTTTATTGAGGCCTCCTTGTCATCATGAATTATGCAAGTAGTTTCATCTTCTGGAACAGCAGCAAGAAAACCATATTTTCAAAGAGTAATCCTGACTCACTTGTTACTTCATAATTACAAAGCACAAATCTTGTCTTCTCAACATGCAGTATCTTACAAAAAATGACACATGGAAGAGAAAGCTACACAACTTGTAAGGCTTGGGAGAAGGCAAACAATAATTCTTTTCTTGCATGCCTCCATGAAATAATGACTTCATAATTCTCTTGCAGTTTGGGAGAAGTACATGAAAGTAGCAGACAGGAATGTGATTGCTTCTCAGTCACTTTCATTGTTGCAACACTAGAGAAAATCCATTCAGTCACTGTGGCCTAAAGTCAGCAAACAGAATCACAGAACATTTTCCCTCTCTTTTCCATCCTCTGGCCTTTAGTCCTGCCAAAAACCTCACTCCAGAAGGTTTCAAAACCCTTAGGAGTACGTTTTAGGGGTGCACAGGAGGCATCACTTGAGAACAGGTTGTCTCATTAAAGTCTGCCACTGAAAGCATGTTTGTCAAGGGGATGATTTTTCTTAGGGGCTGAGTTCAGATTACGAAATAGGAATGTAAAAAATAAAACAATATGTTATAGATGCTGGCTGTTTCAAAAAAGCAGAGTTCCGTGGCGTAGGTGTCACTTAGTGTCAGTTCTGTTCAGTGGAGATATTTATGGGATGCCTTCAATGACTCACCTCCTAGGCCATACTCAGGACACCGCAGGGTAGACAGAGAGCCACGTCCATCTGTCTGCATACCAGAACTGATTTTCATTGAAGATTCTATTTATCTAGCTCTTTTTTTAATATAGCACCTTGTATCCGGACAGTTACCCCAACATGGCAAGTGAGATCACACATGTTGCTGGTGCAGAGGTTTGGGAATGAATCAACGTGGTGGACGCATTGGATACAGGATAGATATAGTCATATTAATCTCATTCTTCAGTTAGCAAGACTGGAAGTGCTGACTGAGATTTGCAGAGCTGCTTTACCTGTACCTGAAAAGGGTACAGATTTGTCAGAATGTGGGATGGGGCAGCTACATGAAAAGTTCAAGTCCGAAGTTGCCTTGGGGAGACTGAAGACATTTTTTGGAATGTGCCCAAAATTTATTTTTTATATAATATATAAAAATTATTTATATTATTTTACACACGAAGAACAAAGGAAGAACAAGTGTTTATAGTAACGAAAGTAGAAACATGCTTAATGCTGTTACCTGGCTATTATCTCACAGCTGTCAGCTGCTCAGTCTTGGGGTCAGAATCAGTTGGAGTTGGAAGGGACCTGTAAGGCCATTGAGTCCAAAACCCTGCTCAGTGCAGGAATCCAAATCGAAGCAGATCTGACAGAAGGTTGTCTAATTTTCTCTTGAATGCCTTAAGTGTTGGAACACTCGTCACCTCCTGAGGTAATTGGTTACTTCTTTTTAAGAAGGATGAGGAGTATGGACTGCCCTTCTTACATGTCTGGTACATCAAGAAAAATTACCATACTATTGCTTTCTTATGAAACAAGATTGAAATGTGATCAGATTTTAAAATATAAATATATATATTTGTGAAACTGATACTGGAGTGAGTTGGAGACATTTGTAATTTACTATTGGTGGTAGATGGTTCTGGAAAGATGCTGTCCTGAAAAACAGAAATGCTCCTACCACGAAAGGCAAACACCATCATTTCTATAACCATGTCTTAAAGCTACAGACTGTCTGATGAATGGTTTTCAGAGTCTTGTAATCAAATAATCCAGTAATTTGAATATTAAAGTATTTCTTTATCTAGCATTAAGCTAACTTCATATTTTGTTTAGTTGAGTTAAGGTTGGGGAACATGTGCTCCTCAAGATATCATTGAATTGCACATCACACCATCCTGTGCATTCTAGGGTGATGGATTTACAATCTAACAACACATTCCTCAACCCTTACTTAACTGAAAGAATGTCTTCCAGCATTTACCTTTAAGCATCCTGCTTGCAAATTTTAAATTGCCCAAATCTGGATTGTTTTATTTTATCAACATTCTGTTTCCTGTTAAGAATCCAGATTCTAGCATTATTAATTCAATGATGGAACAGCATGGCAAACGAGTAAAAACCAAGAAATCACCAAATATAGAATGCAAATCATGAATCACAAAATATAGAATGCTTTAATCAGGTAGTAAGAAACAAAATGTGCAGATTGTTACAACTGAAAGGGGAAAAGAAGTGGAGGAAGAAGACCTTGTTGGTTGAAGAATCTGTAAGCTTAGTTTGGATGTAACACAATGCAATTGTCTAGATAGAGCTGCAACATCAAAAATCAACATAGCCATGGAACCGATGTCTAGTACGTGATAGGAGAGGAACAACAGTAATATAAAGAGTCATGGAATGAAGAAATATTGAATTTGGAATCAGTTGCTAGTTCTGTTGTCTTTGTGTGTACATTCATGTGTGTGTTGATACTCATTCTTGGAGAGAAACAGGTCAAGGTGGTTTATATATGGTATCAGATTTGAAAGAAATGTTGCGGTTTGAATTTTGTGTAGTAAACACATTTCATCAGTCTTGTAAAAATACTCATATTTTACCAGTGCTGAAATTGAATATTTAGAAAGAAGATCTATTTTCATAGCATTTCAGAATAATTATTTTTGCATAATGTATATGACATGAAAACACCTAATGGCAAACATTATTAGAAACAGATCTGAAGAAATGGGAGAAACCTGATAAAAGCAATATTGCTGCTAGTAGGCACATTCTTCAGTAGCAGATTAAATGTCACACTTTTGGATACAACAGGTCTGTTTTATTATTATTATTATTATTATTATTATTATTA